TGAATTGTTAAATTAATGTATTATTTATACACACAACCCGTACGAAGGACGGGTACACAGCTAGTTATTTCATATCTTATTTCACGCAGCATAAAATGGACCTTACCGAGCATTCTTGGTAATGATACATGATGTACTTATTACAGCTCTATCAAAGCACCCACATTTACCTCAAATCGCGTGAGCCCACGCATGGTTACTATTTTACATATTTGTGTATTGCAACATGTAACGAATATAGATCGTAGTCGAACATCAATCAATGTATACCCCATAAGAGCACAATTTATTGTTTCCAGTTCATAGCCTGTGACTTGGTTTCCTTTGTTTGTCCTATGTGTATATGCGAAACCCAATATGCCTGATGCATTTTTACGATACATGTGTATGTAGACAAGCTTACAATCAAAATGATTCTAGTTTATTAAATAATACCATGTTTATCAAGTACTTACTTAGAATTATTGATTAGTTTCAGATGGCTTTACTATTCTTATTTTTGAATTAGTAGTTCTTTTACTCTTTATTTTACATATATTAGTTACCTTTTAGTGAATTATTGAATTTAAACGAGCCAAGCATAGCCTAATGGTTAGCTGCCAGGCTACTAATCCGAAAATCCACTATTAGAGATGCAACATGTCACGAACACGCTACTCACTTTAGCTGTAGGGGCGTTATAATCGTGACAGTCAATCCCACTTTTCGGTTAAGAGTATTCGCATAGGCGGAGGAAGCTGCTGGCTGGTTGTCCTCCTGTTCAACAGTTCTAAATGAGGGATGATCATATCGTATAGGGCATCTGATCTAGCTGTTAAGCCCATGTATCACACAAGGAAGCGTTTTAGTTGAAAATACCATACATCGAAACTGAATAAAAAAATTCACACTCTACACACAGCTTTTTTGAAATAACCGTAGTTGGTTTGCTTTCTCAACTACGCAAAAAAATAAGATACTGTGCTGTTTCTATTTCTCGTCAATTCAAAGGTTGATTAAGAATGCTGGTTTCTTGTATATTTTTGCCTCTTTAACGTAGCCGTCGTCTGAGAAGAACGTTTTCATTTTCCCTTATACATGGATGTTTCCGATGCTTTTCTCTTAAAAGATATTTAGCTTAAGATTATTTGAAGGTCAATATTATAAACAACTGAAGATCTATTTAAGTAAAAACTTAAAATCAGACTTATTAAGCCAGTGAAAATGGGAATAATTTAACGACGTCTCTTAAAACTACATCCTGAAAAATCACGTTAACTGAAAATTTATTTTACAACCGACTTGCGTAAAGCTCTCGGGCTATACATATAGCACTCACACACACACACACGTAAAGTGTGCATTATTCCGCGGAGTAAACTGATTGAATTATTTGCAGTTTGTTGTTGTTATTCTTGTCACGTTAGAACAACCATTTCGACCACCCAGAATGGTTTTTAGATATTATACACCTCCGTAGTATCAAGTTCTTTGTACCGTAAACTGATCTCATCTAAATTGTGAGATAATTTAAAAGACGTATTATACCAGTTAAATATTGTGTCTGCTTTTTCAATAGTATCAAAATAAAATTTTATGAGTTTTATCTGAATAATTATTTGACAAAAGTCAATGTGTGCATATTCACTTATAACTGGTGAACTGTTGAATCGATTGTCATCAAACCTGGTGTGTATCCTTAGGCCTCCGCGAAGTGATATTGGGGATGTGAAGGATCGGCGTTTGGATTTATATTTGACTCCCTATATTACCACCCTGGAGGCCTTATGTCTTCCTCGTATATTGAACGAGTACATCAACTAGTAAGTTATATACTGTCATCGCCTTCACGTGTAGAAATATACCCGTGTTTATATTTTCATTTAGTGTCATAATAGTTAAATTGAAAGTTAAAATTCTGTCATTTTCATTACAGTGATCGACGCATTATTGTCAGTTACAAACACATTTTAGTAATGAAAACACGAAGAATCTAACGATGACAGATGAAGCAGCTATGAAAACTAAAACTGACAAGGACTCACTGTTGCCAGAAGAAAGAGACTTTTCTGATATTGCAGCTTCAACGCCAGACAGTGATCTACTTGTATGCCAACCAGTAAAGAAGAAGGTAATATCAAGGTGTTATTTTTCTGTTAGATATTCCTCCTCCAATAAAGAAGGTAATATCAAGGTGTTATTTTTCTGTTAGATATTCCTCCTCCAATAAAGAAGGTAATATCAAGGTTTTTTTTTCTGTTAGATACTCCTCCGTCAGTAAAGAAGGTAATATAAAGGTGTTATTTTTCTGTTACATACACCTCCATCAGGAAAGAAGGTAATATCAAGGTGTTATTTTTCTGTTACATACACCTCCATCAGGAAAGAAGGTAATATAAAGGTGTCATTTTTCTGTTGCATACACCTCCATCAGTAAAGAAGGTAATATCAAGGTGTTGTTTTTTTGCTAGATACTCCTCCATCAGTAAAGAAGGTAATATCAAGGTGTTGTTTTTCTGCTAGATACTCCTCCATCAGTAAAGAAGGTAATATCAAGGTGTTGTTTTTCTGTTAGATACTTCTACAGTAAAGACGGTAACATCAAGATGTTGTTTTTCTGTTAGATACTCCACCAGTAAAGAAGGTAATAGCAAGATGTTGTTTTTCTGTTAGATACTTCTCCACTAGTAAAGAAGAATATAACATCAAGATGTTGTTTTTTGTTAGATACTTCTCCACTAGTAAAGAAGAATATAACATCAAGATGTTGTTTTTCTGTTAGATACTTCTCCACCAGTAAAGAAGAAGGTAATATCAAGATGTTGTTTTTCTGTTAGATACTCCACCAGTAAAGAAGGTAATAGCAAGATGTTGAAGAGCCATGTGTGAATGCATGGACAGGTGGTGATGTGCTCTTCTGGTATTGATGCCGATGGCGTTAGGGTGTGAACCCCAAGGTCAAAGTTATGGAAAGTACCTCTCAGTAGATGCACTAAACTTCTTGCCTAGTAACTTGATTAGTGTCATAGCTAATAATTGTTGTTTTCGTCATATTATATGTGTAGAAGTCGTATCCAACCTAATGTATTTCTTCTTGAATGGAGGATATATATATATATATATATTAAATACACATTTTACACGTATCTTCCATTCTAACACAATAAACTCTGTGTTGTTGTTAAGAAAATAACACAATCTTAAAAGTTTATGGACTTTCTTTTTTATAACAACTCTAAAACTACTGTTTTAAGATATTAAAATAAAATGATATTTAAAGAGAATCGAAAAAAGGGCTCACACTTATAACTGCAATAGTTGAAATAATTGTAGTGAGATATATTCATTTTTTCTTCTAAACTTCCTTGCAGAAAGATTTTAAATATGTATTAACTCTTTTGTTATGTACCACAACGTTCATTCAGAGAACTCGGGCAAACGTGGACCCGTCATACCTCTTACACTGAAGGGGGGTCTTACTCATTTCAAGGTGATATAGAGATCTGTACAAGTTGGTGGTTTATCTACTTTGAATACGTGTACTTCGAATTATCTTGATGTAAGCAACCTAAGGATTATGGGATACCGTTTTCGGAACTCTATTTGGTTATGAAAATAGGTCATTTTATCTTTTTCTTGTCTGGTGCTTCAATTTTGTCTTGTAAATATGTTTGAAAAGTTTCTCCTACCCCAGCAGCCAAAGAAAAGTCACAACAGAAAATAGGAGTCGGTCAGTTTGATTCAAGACATTTAATTTCGTGAATAAATATTTTGTCTTATTTGTTTTGTTTTTTTGTGTTCACTTATTCCCCTTAACTTTCCGAGTATAAGTCTCTGCGAACACTTGAAATTACTTCTGAGACATCTGTATACATGAATACCACATAGTAAATTATATTTTTAGGATAAGTTTCTTTCCGAAAATATCCCAGTTGTTGGTATGTAGTTGTTGTTTTTATTAGGCCTTTCATTCAAACAGCTTAATAAAGCAGTTTTTGTAGCGCCTCTCAACAAGTGACAACATACAAAAAGATAGTACAAAAACAGATTGTAAAATCATACAAGTATAATGTAAAAACTTTTCCTCCCATTCACTAAAGCTGGACACTGTTTTCTGTCACATCTTTCTAGTATTTCAGTGTTACACTGTAACATCTCTTTCTAATTAATATCTCATTGTAACACTGTAACATATCTCTCTAGAATTCTCAATGTAGCAGTGTTACAGTAAAATAATACTTAATAATTTTGCTCCATATGAATGTTGTACAGTTTTACTTACATATGTTGTTCTAGTTTTCAACAGGCGAGAGAGAACTGTAAAATTATAACTGCAAGTGACAATTTATGACCGTAATATTTACATGAAGCAACACGTTTTGACATGGCTTGGCATGGCCAGGTGGTTAGGGCGCTTGACTCGCAATCTGAGGGTCGCGAGTTCGAATCCTCGTCCTACCAAACCTGCTCGTCCTTATAATGTTATTAACTCGTTGTTAATAGAATAGCCCGAAATTTGTCGGTGGGTGGTGATGACTAGCTGCCTTCCCTCGTATAAACCTTTTGTAGCTTTGCGCGAAATTAACAACAAACAAACAAACGTTTTTGACATACGAACGGGGAAATTAAATGATTCGCGTTTTCACGTTTGTATTGACTGATTAATGTTGATAAATATTTGGAATCTTAATTTCTAAAAGCGCAAGTTTCTGAGGTTGGATGCTGCAGTAACAACCAAATGTGAAGTACTCGGGAAAACAAACAGTGGTTCGAAACTTTTTTTACTGACTACACCGTAACCCGCTTACCTTGATATGCGCGACACCACTATATATATATTGGATATATATATATTTTTAAGTTTTTAATTATTCTTCGTTTGTTGAAACTTTCGCGACACAGTTTTAATACCAATGGTCTAAGGATTAGTTTTAATACCAATGGTCTAAAGATTTCAACATCCAGCCCAGTTTTACTTGACAGTTACATACGTACCCCTCGCTGTTGTCTACGTCTATGACGTGATTTGTAAAATTAACTTAAACATAATTGTATTACATGTTTTCTGTTGTTGTTGTTGTTTTGTTTTTTTGCTGCCAGAGCTCGTTAATTTTATTTTGTTTGCTTCAACCAGAAACTACCAAAAATCGAGAGCTCAAATCTTATTTCTAGGTATCAATAATAATGTTGCTAGTATTAAAAAAACACTGCAGTTTCAATCTAAATACGCCCCCCTCACAGTGGCACAGCGATATGTCTGCGGACGCACAATGCTAGAAACCGGGTTTCGATACCCGTGGTAGGCAAAGCACAAATAGCCCATTGTGTAGCTTTGTGCTTAACTTCAAACAAACCATTACCTTCTGGCATTTTCTTCGTGTTTGATAATTCGAGAGAGCTTGAATTCTGCGCTCTTAAATAAGAATTTTCTATGTGGATAAGGAAGAGATGGTCCTTTACTGATTTTATAGGAAATGGCTCTAGTAGTACAAAGCAGTAAACATCAAATTATAAGTGGTTAAAAGCTCTCCATAGAGTCTGTACTTTTCTGTCTATTATATTCTGTCTAAATATCTATTATAGTTTCAAGTTGAATAAGCTTGCATAAACTGCTTCTGCCTTCTATCTAGTTTTGGAGACGACGATTTGGACTCTGGGCTGAGTTCTTTACCAGGTCTTTAAACGGAGAGTTGAGTATTGCTTTGATATGCAAAACATACTTGTGTTTTTACCTTTACATTTAAATAGTAGTCAAACTTAAATCCTCACTGATTATTAATCATTATTACACACAACGTAAAACTCGCATTTTCAATAGATTTCATAAAAAGTTTTAGGTATGTCTGCGGACTCACAACGCTATAAACCGGGTTTCGATACTCGTGGTGGGAAAAGGACAGATAGTCCTTTGTGTAGCTTTGTGCCTAACTACAAGCAAACAATAAATTTAAATGAAATATTAAGTTATACCTTTTTATTTTGTAAAAGTGCCCAAAATATGCACAGAGATGATTTTGTTTAAGTTTTGCAGACGTGCATAATTTCACAAGGTAAAAGTTGATGTTTATGCTTCTTATAATGTCTTATAAAACCCCTTTCTTTAGGTATGTAATGCTTACAAACTGTTAATGTGTTCTTGGTAAGGAAACTTGGTTAATGTCGAACAAACGATTTCTAGGGTATATCAGTTAATGGCTCGTTCTTCATGATGAAGGTGATTATTAAAATAACCACACAATCAAAACGATTGTATATTAAAAACTACTTGTCTTAGGGAAACACAATTTCACAAGAGGCACATTGAAAGTCATAAGCCTTATCCAGGGAAGTTGGACACGCTACAGGATGTGTCAAAGCCGTTTATATTACGTAATGAAATCACTTTTATCGCAAACTATATAGTACTACTTTTTCATCTTTCTATAATTTTCAACACTGCAAAACTAGTGAATGATTTAAATAAAGTGGTTGTCAGTGTGTAGAATATTGCGAGGATCAATGAACACTATCCATATCATGTGCAGAATCGTCACGTAGGAATAGCCTTAACATGTTGATTGAGAAATATAGCACACTGAACACCTTCTGTGACAGTTTTTGGAACACTTTCTACGGTGGCCAAGTTTTTCTGGAAAACTTATGATTTTTAATGAAGTATTGTTCCCCTAAGACAAGTAGTTTTTAAGGTATTGTTACGCCTCCAGTCGTTAGTTGATTTTTCATAACTTCGTTCGGACGAAACTTTAGCGACACAAGTCCTTACTTAATAAAACTGGTTTATTCTTTCTGAATATAACTTTACGATACACTTAATTTCAACATTCGCGCTAAAACAAACGCTATAACGAACGTTAACTTCAACAATACTCTCTGACTGCAGATCAATTACTCACTACCTACACATTGTACCGTCACGTTGTTACCATCTTATATATACCAGACTACCCCCAATCTAGTAAATGCTAGGGCATTCACGAAGGAACAGGATATTTCTAGAAAACATGGCGTGACATTAGTCACGTGACCTCGCTGACGCAACAGTATAATAATTTTTTTGCACAATAACGATGTATATTATGAACGAAATATTTATATATATTTCTGTATACACATAAAAGTGTACACGAGTTTTAGTCATATCT